GTTCTGGTCTCTGTAGGTCTACAGATTGATGTGTGTTCTGGTCTCTCTAGGTCTACAGACTGATGTGTCTTCTACTCTCTCCGGGTCTACAGATTGATGTGTTCTGGTCTTTGCAGGTCTGCGGGCGTTCCGGCTCAAGACAAACTGTAACTTCACGACTCTGAAGGAGAAGCAGCTGAAAGAGATCCAGGCTCCAACCACCAACCTGTACCTGCCGGTCCTCTACCTGCTGTTCTTCATTGTGGGTCTCCCCTCCAACCTGCTGGCTCTGTGGGTTCTGCTCTTCAGGACCAAACCGCTGCCGTCCACCACGCTGCTCATCAACCTCACCGCCGCCGACTGCCTGCTGCTGCTGGTGCTGCCGTTCCGCATCGTGTACCACTTCAGAGGGAACCACTGGGAGCTGGGCGAGCCCTTCTGCCGCGTGGTCATGGCCATGTTTTACAGCAACATGTACGGGTCAGCGCTGTGTCTGGCACTGGTGGCTCTGGACCGGTACATCGCTCTGGTTCACCCGTTCGGCGCCAAGACGCTCCGCAGCCGGCGGACATCTCTGTACATGACGGCCGCAGTGTGGACAGCGGTCGTGGCCGCCATGCTGCCGCTGCTGGCGACCCGGCAGACCTACGCTCTGGACGAGCTGCAGATCACCACTTGTCACGACGTCCTGCCGGAGGAGGAGCAGGAGAACTACTTCCTGCTGTACTTCGCCACCTTGTTCGCCTTCTGCTTCCTGCTGCCCCTCCTGGTGGTGCTGTACTGCCACGGCGCTGTGCTGCGCGCCCTGCTGGCCGAGGGTCACGGTGCTGGTGCTGCTGGTCTTCGTCGTGTGTCTGCTGCCTAGCAACATCCTCCTCCTCCTCACCTACGCAGACAGCTCGCTGGACGGAGACGGCGAGGACCTCTACGCCCCCTACATGGTTAGCTTAGCGGTTAGCACCTTCAACAGCTGCATCGACCCCTTCATCTTCTACTTTGTGTCGGTGGAGTTCAGGCAGAAGGCCGGGGATGCTCTGTGTTGCCGTGGCAATTTAGAGAACGGACGGTCTTCTCTAGGGAACAAGGTGTCGTACTCTTCATCATCATCATCATCATCATCAGGCCTCGGGTCAAAGGTCACCGCGGTGGCCACCTCCACTCGGTGTGGGACGTCAGCGACCATGTGAGGAGGCGTCACACTGTCGGGCTGCAGCCAACCATCATTTAGAGTTTAGATTCATCTTTGGTCCAAAATGTCTTTAAATGTCTTGTTTTGATCTTAGTATGAACAAAGAAAGAAAACTACTTAAAGATGAATTGATTATTAAATAGTTTATAAAACAGATTATTTCGCCGTCATCATCACAGCTTAGATTACAGCCTCTACTCCTTTAAAGCGAGAACATGAACTGATCTCTGGTGACTTGGTTGTAGATTCTGATCGGCTCATTTATTTACACATTAATAAGAACATTGAGAAGATATATACTCCTCATGTGTTTGTTGTAAAAATACTCGGAAACAAATATTTGAGAGACAACATTGAATATTGAAATTAAACAACAAAATGTTTACAGAGTGAAAATGTTGTTTCAGTCTTTATTTGAATCCTAAACCTTATTTTTATTAAAACATAGAAAAGTGTATAAAAACCTTTTCCATAAATTTTAGATTTCAGCCCACAAGTTAAGAGTGAAGCTGAGATCTTATCCGGTAAAACCCTGAAGTCAAACTAACTGGCTTTTGAATGTAAACTGTCCCAATTTAATTCAAAATATTTGAGTTAAAATGACTGTCTCATTAAAAGTGCCAAAACTTAATTTAAAACAATTTCTAAAGTTTTTACTGATTAATTCGTTAAAAGTTTGGCTTGTATTTTGTTGGGAAAAATTAGTATGCATTTAATAATTAGTGAATGTTATACATTTAACAGAGGCCCATGTCCTCTGTAGTGTTTAAGGCCTGCGTCCTTATGTGAACTATCTGGAACACCAGGTGTCTTCAGCAGACGTTTAGTCTATTAGGAAGCAGTTGATTGCTGAAAGAACACTTCAGCTGTTTGTCCTGAATAAGAATGATAATAAACTTGTAGAAAGCGTCAATACTTACGCAGGGCTGATTTGCGACCATGATTTACGAGAAAGTGACCTTTGTACTAGAACGAATTGTTAAAGTGTCCAGATACGTAGACGCCTGTGTGAAACGTAAAATGTGTGTGTGCTACCCTGTGCCAGCCCACTGCATGTTGTTTACTTAGTATAAATATCAGAGACTCGGAGACAGATCTTCGAGCAGTCTTGATGTACTTTCTGTATGTGAATCAACCCTGTCTCCTTCTTTGCAAAGAATAAATGTCCAATGATTTATGATTTTTACACCAGTCTCGCGTGAATTTTTCTAACAGTTTAAAGATATATATATACTGTATATATATATATATATATATATATATATATATATATAAAAAGCTTCATTTTATGTTGATACATTAAATATATATATATTTTATATTTTATATTACTAAACAGAAAATAAATGAATAAATGATAAAACGAATAAAGGATGACTTAATAAATGACTGAAATGATTAAATGTGTTCAAGTAGAATCAGTGACTCAAATCATTAATTATCAATTTAATTCGTGGTTTGAAGTTCAAAATTTTAATTTAGTTTAAAAAATTGATTGTCAGAACCAGATACAAGGACTAGACATCAGGAATAGATATCAAGAGTAGATATCAGGACTAGACATCGGGACTAGATACCGGGACTAGACATCGGGACTAGATATCAAGAGTAGACATCGGGACTAGACATCGGGACTAGATATCAGGACTAGACATCGGGACTAGACATTGGGACTAGACATCGGGACTAGACATCAAGAGTAGATATCAGGACTAGACATCGGGACTAGACATCGGGACTAGATACCGGGACTAGATATCAAAAGTAAATATCAGGACTAGATATGGACTGAAGTGACACATTACAAACACAAGGTTGATTCTCGTCTGAAGAATTCCTGTAAGATTTTGTTTCACTTTTCATTACGTACATAAAACACGAAGCCAACTTGAGTAGCAATAATAATATTTATTGTATTTGAAAGATTTACAGAACGCCCCCCCCACACACACAAACAAACAGTGAAAACAGAATGAATGTAACAAACAAGTGAACGATGTCAGACTTTGTGTGCAAAATGTATGAACAGGTTATTAACTCGTTCATGTTGTAACAAAAGTGTCAAAGATCAAAACTTAACAAAGCTCATTTATCTCATGAACGTCTGAAGGTCTAAAGGTCTAAAGGTCTGAATGTCTAAAGGCCTGAATGTCTAAAGGCCTGAAGGTCTAAAGGCCTGAAGGTCTAAAGGTCTGAAGGTCTAAAGGCCTGAATGTCTGAAGGTCTAAAGGTCTGAAGGTCTGAAGAGAACAGAGTTCATTCCTGAGACGGCTGATGAAGCTGAAAAGGTTCGTCTTCAGAGAATAAAACTGAAACTTCACAGATCTTCTTCATCACTGGTCCCACAGAGCTCAGTAACGTTTCATTTAGCCCCGCCCCCAGTATATATACATATACATATATACATACATACATACATACATATATATACATACATACATATATATACATATATACATATATATACATATACATACATACATATACACATATATATATGTTTTATATATTTTTATATTTTATATTTTTTATATTTTATATTTTATATATTATTTTATTGCGCGTTAACGCATTTTTTAAAATTTATTATAATTTTTTAAAAATTTTTTTATTTTTATTGAAAGACAAGAGACAATACATATACATAACAAGAAGATGACAAGAACAGTGGGATAAAAGCCAGCAAACTCCTATAGTCAGTTGTGTATGTATGTATGTATATTTGTGTGTGTGTGTGTGTGAACGTGTGTGTGTATGTCCTTGAGCCTTTTGAGATGGGGAAAAAAAAAATAATAATAATAATAATAATTAAAAAACAACAACAAAAAAAACAGGTAAGTATTTTTAATTTATTATTATTGTAACAGACATGTTTATCGTTTTGTATTGGAGATATGATGTCCCTTCAGGGTTGCCGTAGAGAAAAGGCGACTTCCGCTTCTGGTCGAGGGGGGGCAGAAATAAAGAGAGAAGCTGCACCAGCTGTTGCTCTCCCTGGAGACTACTGGACATCGCTGCGGTAAAGTCAGCAGACACTCAGATCTCCGTGGTCAACTCAGCAGACACTGACATGTTAGTGCACCTATATGCTGAAATTCGCGGTAAACGCATTTAAACGGCACAGATCGGGAACGAGCGAAGGACATTGAAAGTTAGCGGAAAGATTAACGTGAGACAACATCCGGTTTCTTCAGACGAACATCCGGTTTTCAGAATAAGATGAATTATTAAGTTTGAATTATATTCACATTAAGTATAAAACATGCTACCTGCATCTCGTGAACCAAATGTTATTTTGTTCATATAGCAGTACTTTTAAAATAAAAGTGCGCAATACACTACTTTTGAATTCATTATTGAACTTTGCCATAACAATGCGATTAATCGCGATTAATCGCAAAAAATCCATGCGATTAATCGCGATTAAATATTTTAATCGTTGCCCAGCACTAATATGAATATAAACTTAGAGTTCGTCGTCGTCCTCACTGACCGCCATGTCGAGATCTTTGTCTTTTCGTTCGGCGCTCTCCGTCATGAACTCCCTCTGCTGCTCCTCCAGCTCCTGCAGCTCTCCCTGCAGGCGAGTCAGGTGAAGTGCTCGCCGGTTCCTCAGCAGGCGGCCAGGGAACGGGTTCATGTCAGTGAAGGCGATGCTGGTCAGCCTCCTGCAGGACAACACCACGATTAACAGCTTCATCCACAAGACAGAAAACCTCTTTCAATGCTTTAGAGGACGTTTACTGTCTTTATTCAGCTGGAGAACGACAGAGAGAAAGAAAGGACTCGTCCTATATACTAGATACTGTGTACTGTATACTATATACTATATACTGTGTAATGTGTACTATATACTGTGCACTATATACTGTGTACTATATACTAGATGATGCAGTACATTGCACTCATAGATGTCATGTAGTTTGTGACTTTGTCTCACTGGAGATGTGACCAGCAGTTTTCTTAAAGCAGAATTCAGAATAGAAACAGTGGATTTGATGCGTTGACACTAAAAGCTCTGCAGCGTTGTAACTGAGCTCCAGCAGGTGGCAGCATCTCAACAATGAGGATCCTTTCATAAAGAGTCACACCAGGGGAGCCTTACCTGCCGTCAGAGATGGTCTTGGTGAAGAAGCGCAGGTACTGGTAGATCTCCACGCCATCGTGGATCTTCAGCACGTCGTCCTCTTTGTATTTGAAGAGAGCCAGAGCGTACCTGAAGATAACCTGCAGCACCAAAGCACACAGGTGAGACTCAAGTCAGCTTTCATTCCACAGACAATATTTAAACAATGTTTGCTGTTCAGAGTTGATCAAATTAATGAATTGTTTAATTTAAGACAAGTGAGGACATTTAAACAAAGTGAGGACATTTAAACAAAGTGAAGACACTTAAACAAAGTGAGGACATTTAAACAAAGTGAGGATACTTGAACAAAGTGAAGACATTTAAACAAAGTGAGGACACTTAAACAAAGTGAGGACACTTGAACAAAGTGAAGACATTTAAACAAAGTGAGGACACTTAAACAAAGTGAGGACACTTGAACAAAGTGAGGACACTTAAACAAAGTGAGGACACTTAAACAAAGTGAAGACATTTCAACAAAGTGAGGACATTTCAACAAAGTGAGGAGATTTTAAACAAAGTGAGGACACTTCAACAAAGTGAAGACATTTAAACAAAGTGAAGACATTTAAACAAAGTGAGGACACTTAAAAAAAGTGAAGACATTTAAACAAAGTGAGGACACTTAAACAAAGTGAAGACATTTAAACAAAGTGAGGACACTTAAACAAAGTGAGGACACTTGAACAAAGTGAAGACATTTAAACAAAGTGAAGACATTTAAACAAAGTGAGGACATTGATCTCAATTACAGTGTGTCGGTTGTGTGAAAGTGAAAAACATGTCTGATGCGTTGTTTGTGTAAATTCAATCAAACATTACAGCTGAAGTCGTCGTAATGCACCTGGATCAGATCTGAACTCTGAGAGCACCTTTATAGTTTTGAGTCCGATTATTTACGTGTTTTTATTAAATGTATTTCTGTATTTGTTTTCTTTGTTTTTTTCTGTATTTCTGTATTTCTCATGTATTTTGTCTGTGTTTCTATATAACAGTATTTTTTTCTGTGTTTCTGTGGTGGTGTGTTCAATACCTTGGTGCCCTCGTACAGGAAGGCGTCCCATAGCGGCAGCAGGATGTCGCTTGGCAGACTCTCCACAAAAACCACCAGGAACCAGTTGAAGGTGATGAGAGACACGTCGATGCTGTGATCCTCAAAGTGAGCGGAGAGTCTGGGAAGCTTCTCCGCCAAAAAGTCCTTCAGCACCCGCTGGTCCGCCTGAACACAGAAACTCAATATTCAATCGATCAACAACACAACACTGATAGATCAATAACACTGATCGATCCATAACACTGATCTCTGTATCTGGTTGCCAGGTTTACACCTGAGATCATTTCACTGATGATGCTTTTATGGAAATATGAGTTTCACACAGAAATAAACAAACAATATTGTGTAGAACTGAAGTTCTGGTTTCTGATCAATGTCACAACGTTCTCCATTGGAACCTAACCAATAATTAGTCTCCTGTACCTGAGAGGCCACCAGGTTCTTGGTGTAGTAGTCCTGAGGCATGAGGGACTCCACCACAGCCACCAGACACCAGAAGGCGTCTTCTTCACTCTGAAGGACCAGCAGAGCGATGGCTGCCACCCTGAGAGACACACAGGTGATCACGTGGAACGTCACGCGACATGTCACATGAGACCTGGATTTGGGGGCCAGGGATTAGACAACATAAGACATGTTTACCTGTTGAGTCCCTGGCAGTAGCCAATAGAAGGGTTCTGCCAGGAGAAGGCCAATAAGATGCGGCGGAGCTGCTGGAGGGCGGGGTTAGAGGGTGAGGAGAAGTGCTGATTGGTTGTCAGGGTGCGATGGAGGTCCAGCTGGATTTGTCTGGAGGCCAGATGAGGACACGTTCGACTCTTCTCACACAGCTGGAAACACAGCAGCTGGATTACTGCAAGGTCATTAACAACATGTTCCTACATCCAGGTGTGAACAGTGTGTAGGATGGATCAGGTGTGGATCAGGTGTGGATCCGGTGTGAACAGGTGTGGATAAGGTGTTGACAAGGTGTGGATCAGGTGTGGTCAAGGTCCGGATAAGGTGTGGACAAGGTGTGGATCAGGTGTGGATCAGGTGTGAACAGGTGTGGATAAGGTGTTGACCAGGTGTGGATCAGGTGTGGTCATGTGTTCTGATGCAGGTGACTGCTCTGTGTTAGTTCTTCTGGACCTCAGTTCTGCATTTGACACTGTAGACCATAACATCCTGATTAAGAGGCTACGTGATTGGGTTGGCATATCTGGCATAGCGCTAGACTGGTTCACATCTTACCTCAATGACAGAAGTTTTAATGTCTCTGTGGGTGATTTTGTGTCTGTTACCTCTCCACTGTCTTGTGGCGTACCGCAGGGCTCGGTTCTGGGGCCTCTGTTATTTTCCCTTTATCTGTTACCGTTGGGACCGATTATAAAAAGTTATAATGTGTCCTATCATTTATATGCCGATGATATCCAACTCCATCTGTCATTCAAACCCAGCGAGGCCTTCACATTAACTAGGCTCCTGGACTGTGTCAATGCCATCAGAGACTGGACGGCAGAAAACTGCTTACAACTTAACGACACTAAGACGGAGGTCCTAGTTATTGCTCCAGATGAGTTTGTCCCCATGATCAGGCAGAGTATTGGTCCACTCTCCTCTGCTGCCCATTGCAACCTGCGCAATCTAGGGATTTTCTTTGATCGATCCATGTCGTTTGACCCCCATATTAAGCAGCTGTCCAGATCATGTTTCTTCCACCTAAGAAATATCAGTAAACTGAGATCTGTAGTATCAACAGCTGAACTAGAGATGATCATACACACATTTATCTCCTCTCGCACTGACTACTGTAACTCACTTTTTACATCACTCAGTGTATCTGCTCTTAACCGTCTGCAGGTAATCCAAAACGCTGCCGCCAGATTACTCACCAGGACAAATCGACGGTCTCACATCACCCCCGTACTCCGATCTCTCCACTGGCTCCCTGTAGCATTTAGGATACACTTCAAAATTCTCACCATCACTTACAGAGCACTTCACGGTCAGGCTCCTACTTATGTAGCTGATCTACTTCACCCATATTCACCCGCCCGCACTCTCAGGTCAAACGCTCTAGGTCTTCTGTCAGTTCCACGCACACGATTTAAGACCGAGCCTTTGAGGCAGTGGCACCGAGGCTGTGGAATGCTCTGCCTGCGACTCTACGCCTCGCACATTCTGTGAATACTTTTAAAAAACAGCTCAAAACCCACCTTTTTAGGCTTTTAAAACCCATGTCCTAGACCTGCTCTTAAAATATGTGATTTATTGACTCTATGGTCACATTGTGTTTTTTAAATTTCTGCTCTGTTAAGCACTTTGTGATTTTCTGTCTGTGAAAAGCGCTCTATAAATACATTTTATTATTATTATTATTACTATTATTATAAGGTGTGGATAAAGTGTGGACAAGGTGTGGACAAGGTGTGATCAGGTGTGGACAAGGTGTGGACAAGGTGTGGACAAGGTGTAAACAGGTGTGGATCCGGCGTGAACAGGTGTGGATGAGGTGTGGATAAGGTGTGGGACAGGTGTGGACAGGTGTTAACTTCCTGCACACCTGCTGGTAGCGGTGTGGGTGACGCTCCCTGATGGTCCTGGTTCTGGCTCGGACCACCCAGCGCCACACCCGCTGGCGGTACTCCTGAGGGATGCCGCCTCGCAGCAGACCTTTGAGCTCAGGTGAGGGACTGAGGTCTTCTGACCTGCCGGTGAGGTACTGAGCCCAGCGACTCAACAGGTAGCGCTCTGCACCTTCCTGCAGGTAGAAATCCAGAGACTTTAAATAAACATCCTGCTACATCGACTTCCTCAGAGGACACAACCACACATCTGTGTACCTGTGAGGACTTTTCTTAGACCATCGATCACAATCTGTTCATTGTTGGACAGCTGATCTGATGGGCTGAGGTACACAGGTCTCCAGGTACACAGGAACACATTTCTACAGGTACACAGGTCTAGAGGTACAAAAGTGTACAGGTACACAAGTGTACAGGTACAAAGGTCTACAGGTGTACAGGTGAGGGTTCCTACCTGATGCAGCAGGTTGTGTGAGCGGATCTCCAGCGCCTGAATCTTTGCCAGCAGCTTCATGTCCTCCACCTCGTATTCTGGGATGATTTTGAATCCGTACTCATCGTGATCTCTGAGGATACAACAGATTTAACACAATCAATGCACCAGGTTTTCCTGTTATTCTGTCCACCCAGGTGCTGTGACCGTCCTAGCTACCTGGCCACGTTAAGCTGGAGGGCGCTCTTCAGCTCCCTTTTCAGGGCCTCCTTGATCATCTTCTGGACCTTCCCCCGCTGGACCGGATCCAGAGTCGTGGTCTCCTGCAGCTGCCGCAGGACGCCCAGGTAGCGGCTCTCCACCTGGCAGTGACTGGCCTCCAGGTAGGAACACTGCAGCCAATCAGGAGACAGGAAACACAGCGTGAAGCCGAGCTTTAACGAAATCTTGATAAAGGCGTTCACCAGCTGGACTCACCTTCACCATCAGACTCTTCTCCTGCTCACAACTGGTCCTCCAGAGTTTAGTCAGCTGGTGGATCTCAGAGTTCAGGAACTGGTTCTGAGTCTTGTACGCCTCAATGTCATCCTGAAGAATCAGAGAGAAACCAGTTCATACTGGATCTCTGTGGCCGATACCAGTAGAGTGACAACAATATATACAGGTGTAATAAAAAATATATTTAATTATGTGTTATAATTATATATATATATTATTATGTTATATATTATATGTTAATTTGTGTGCTTCAAAGAGTTTCACCTTCAGATTTTCGATGTCTCTATGAAGCCATCTGAAGGTGTGAGAGTTCAAACTTCCGTCAGAGGACAGACAGGAAGTAACCTGATCAGAGAGCTTTATGATCACCTGACAGGAAACAACAACAGGAAGTCACCTGATCAGAGTGCTTTATGATCACCTGACAGGAAACAACAGGAAGCCACCTGATCAGAAAGCTTTAAGATCACCTGACAGGAAACAAGAAACCATTTTTATTGTCATATACATATACACGAAATTTGCCTTCTGCATTTGACCCATCCCTGTATATAGGGAGCAGTAGGGTGCCAATGACAGGCGCCCGGGGAGTGTCTTGCTCAGGGACACTACGACACGTCCCAGTCAAGGATTGAACCGTTGACCCTGCAGTTACCAGACAACCCTCTTAACCCAGTGAGCCACGGTCGTCCCCAGAAAGACATTCAACAAGCTTCACATCACAGATGTACAAACACAAATCATCTGATCTCAGTACAGGTGAGAAAGAATAATATAGCCTTCGATAAACAATACAACTGTGATTTGGGTTGTTTTTAGGTAGATATTCATCCTCAGGTGTTGAACCAGGTGTTCTGTCCTGAGGTGAGACTCACCTCCTGCTTCGCGTTGTTCTTCTCGATCAGCATCCCAATGTTGTCCTGCAGGTCGACCAGCTGAGCGTCTCTGTGAGACAGACTCCTCTTGGTGTCCTCGGCCTCCTTCTTCACCTCCTCCAGCTGACCTCTGAGGTCAGCCGCCTGTCGCTCTCGATGTCTCAGCAGCTCCAGACGCTGCTGCTCGTCTTTCTCCGCCAGAAACTCTGCACAGGTTCTCTTCTCCAGCTGAGACGCCTCCAAGGCTTTGTGGAGGATCCACACCAGCTCCTGGACCCGACACATTATTATTATTATTGTTATTATCATTATTAAAATAATTATCATTATCAGCAACACCTCTCTGTAGCTGACATTACAACATTATTTGATGATCCTCCTATGGATTAAAATCCCCCGATCAATATGTATCTGATCACAGAGCTATTGATCACCTTCTGAGCTCTGACGTCCTCCATAAGCACCAGGTTCTCCTGCTGGAGATGAGATGTCCGGTCTGAGGAAAGAGAGTCTCTGCAGACGACCGTCATGGGGGATGAGCTGCGAGTCTTCGTCTTCCTGGTTTGATGGTCCAACGCCGAAGGTGAGTCAGGGGTCACCTGACCTGCTGACTCAGCCAATGGGAGGAGAGGGGGCGGAGTCTCAACGGACAGAGCTGGAGAGAATCACATGTGACAGTGAGAATCACTTATAGTATTATTTTTAATATTCATACTTGTATACGAGGTACTAGTACTACTTATTGTACTTATTGTATTGGAGTACGTACTCATAGTTTTGTCGGGTTCTGCAGAGTTTGGGGGGATCCTCTGCGGAGCGTCGATATGAAACACACTCTGACTCTGACTCAACTCCTGAGACGCCCTCTTACGAAGACTGTGGACCGAGTTTCTGACCAACACACAAAGATCATAATCACTGGGGCTCATGGGAAACGTAGTCTCAGTCGGACTCTGATATTAAACACTCACTGGATCTCGATGAGTGGGTGTTTGAGCGACATGTTGGCGAGCGGCGTCCTCGGTGACGGGACGTTAGCGGCCTCCTCGCCCACCAGACCCAGCGGGCCGGTCAACACGGACAGGAAGTTGTCTGCAGAATAAAGGTCAGAGGATGATCAATATTAAAGGACTCATCACATGATCAATAATCTGTAATCTTGATCATACATTCATTAACCTTTTGACAATTTTTTCACATTAATGTAGTTCTATTTCATCCTTACCGAGGGAATGCTTAACACTGGATTTCTTCCGTCTCGTGCATGCGCATGTCGAGTCTTTATATCAACCAAGTCACCTGGGACCTCGGATGACCCCCGTCGTCTATAAGTTCCGGTGTCATCCTGAGATCAGTCCTTTTTCATCTTCTCGCTATGCAGGCTAGCTACCATGGTAGCATAAGCTTAAGATTTTATTAGAGTCGTCATATACATATACACATACATGAAATGTAACTTCTGCATTTAACCCATCCCTAGCTTATTAGGAGCAGTGGGCTGCTGAGAAGCACCCGGGAAGCAGTTAGGGGTTCAGTGTCTTGCTCAGGGACACTTCAGCACAGGACTCGTAGCAGCCAAGGATCGAACCACCGACCTTGCGGTTGCCGGACGACCCGCTTCTAATACAATCCTACCTAAATCCCCGCCAGGCAACCTCCGAACTTGGGGACTAACAGTTGCCCCCCCAAAGCCTCCAGAGACAGGGGGGCCAGGAGATGATGTCTCCAGGCCGGCTGTCGTTCTTTCTCCCAGATGCAGATCAGCTACTGGGCAGTTCATGCTTCGGACCCTTGGGCGGCGTCCACCCTAACAGTGCCTACTCACTCTATCCCCATGGAGGGAGAGGGCATATCTGGCAAATGGTTTCCCCATGGGCTTGATTCCATTCCGCCGGGAGATTGTCACAACAGATGCCTGCCTCTCAAGGTGGGATGCAGTGTGGCAGAACAGGACTGCTTGGGGGCAGTTGTCTGCTCAAGATCGCATGGGCAGGTCAATGTTCTAGAGCTAGCGCTCAAACACTTCCTGCCATATTTGAAGGGAAAGCATGTGCTTGTCCGGTCGGACAACACCTCTGCTGTGTTTTCACATAAAGCATCAAGGGGGCACCAGATCTGCAGAACTTACTACGGGTATCACCGTGACCTTCTGACTTGAGAACGGAACCAGGTTGTGGATTTCCTGTCCCGTCACAAGCCTCCACCGGGGGAGTGGCGGCTGCATCCAGACGTACTGTCAACCCACTGCCCCCACTGGTTCTCCCTGATGGAGAGGACCAGTCCTCTGGGTCAAGATGCCCTGGCTCACACGTGGCCAGAGGGTCTTCTTTAGGCCTTTCCACTGTTCCCTCTGATCTTGCCAATGCGTCTCAGAGTTCTTCCCCGACAGGAGGGACCTCCTATCGCAACTAAAAGGTCGGATTTGGCATCACAATCCCTGCCGCCTTCAACTATGGGTCTGGCCGTGGGAGAGCCCGACCGGATAGTGAGTGGCTGCATAGAACCAGTCAGACTGACTATTCTGAATGCCAGGGCGTAATCTACCCGTCTGCAGTACGAAAACAGGTGGAAGCTGTTTTCTGACTGGTGTGCAGTCCAGAACAAGAACCCAGTACAGTGCCCCATGCCTGCTGTACTTTCTGTTTCTACAGTCCCTCCTAGATAAGGGCCGGTCTCCCTCTACCCTTGGAGTATACATGGCCGCTATTTCAGGGCAGCATACTAAGGTCGACAATGACACAGTAGGGAGCCACAGACTGGTGTCCCTCTTCCTAAAAGGGGCTCTGTGATTGCATCCCCCGAGCACCCCGAAGGCCCTTGCATGGGACCTACCCTTGGCACTGGACACCGTATGCTTGCCTCCTTTTGAACACCTCGCACAGGCGGAGCCCAGATGGCTATCGGCCAAAACGTTTTTTCTCCTTGCCATTACTTCAGCTAAACATGTGGGCGAGCTGCATGCCCTGTCGGTGAATGAATCATGTCTCAAGTGGAACTCAGATGGCTTGGGTGTCACTTTGTGATAACACTGGTTGATACGCTCGCATATCAACCAGCCTATCCAGCTTGCGCAGTTTGTATATCTAGAGGATATCTAGTGTTAAGCAATGGCGGTCATCCAGGATTCATAGAACCGTAGTTACATTCGTAACTTTCGTTTTATTCTTAGAATGCTATTAATATCTATGTGTTAATGTTTAATTTATTTTGTATTATTTATTATTGCTCACATATATAACTTTCGATATATATACACGAATATAACCAAACTCAGTCTGACAAACTGACGATTATCGTCCCAAAGGACTACATGAAGAACACAAAGACTGTCGTGGTTCAAGTCTTCATTTGTCACATTTACACTTTTTTTATCTTTATGTTTTGTTATTAAATTCACACTGAAAGCAAACCGGTGGTGAAACATCTGGTTTCAGTAAAAACTCAATGAAGTTCTGAACCAGTGTTCAATGGTTTATATTTATGTGAGAGTAACAATAAACTTTCTTCAGAAACAGGAAGTAGACACTGTGGGAGGTGGAAGGAGGGCCTTCTGTGAGGACAGCTGTGTTCCATCAAGCACCAGGGTGAGTTATAACAACGACAAACTCTGGTTTGCAGCTAAGGCTGCACAAGGATCAGGCATTTAGGAGTGGGGACAAGGACAGTTTTATTAAGGCGGTGAGAGACGCTAAACGACTGTACTCTGAGAAACTGCAACACCAGCTCTCAGCAAGTGACTCTGCTTCTGTCTGGAGAAGCCTCAGACAGATCACCAGCCAAAAGTCCCCCACTCCATGAATGACCTCCGCCTGGCAGACAAGCTGAACGAGTTCTACTGTCGCTTTGATAGACAATGGGACAGCCCTGACTCCATCCCCGACAGCTCCATCAACCAGCCCCAGACCACCAGGTCCCCCTCCCTTCAGCTCTCCCTTTAACACCATCATCCCGTATTTGCTGCATGACAAGCTCTCCCAGCTGCACGTCAAGCTGGGAAAACACGTCTCAGCCTCCTGGACCATCAGCACCAGTTCCCCCAAGGCTGTGTTCTTTCCCCTCTGCTCTTCTCCTTGTACACGGACAGCTGCCCCTCCAGTCACCAGTCTGTCAAGCTCCTGAAGTTCGCGGATGACACCACCCTCATTGGACTCATCTCTGGTGGGGATGAGTCCGCCTACAGGTGGGAGACTGACCATCTGGTGACCTGGTGCGGTCTGAACAACTTGGAGCTCAACGCACTAACAGTGGACAGTGGAGATGGTTGTGGATTTCCGGAAGAATGCAGCCCCACCAGCCCCTATCACCTTGTGTGACTCCCCCGTTGACGCGGTGGAGTCCTTCCGCTTCCTGGGCTCCATCATATCCCAGGACCTCAAGTGGGAGCTGAACATCAGCTCCATCACCAAGAAGGCTCAGCAGAGGATGTAGTTCCTGAGGCAGCTGAAGAAATTAAACCTGCCAAAGACAATGATGGTGCACTTCTACACTGCCATCATTGAGTCCATCCTCTGCTCCTCCATCACGGTCTGGTACGCTGCAGCCACTGCCAAGGACAAGGGCAGGCTGCAGCGCATCATTCACTCTGCTAAGAGGGTGATTGGCTGCAATCTGCCGTCCCTCCAGGACTTGTTCACTTCAAGGACCCTGAAGCGAGCAAGAAAGACTGTAGCCGACCCCTCTCACCCTGGACAAAAACTGTTCATGCCCCTTCCATCTGGCAGGAGGCTGAGGTCCATCAGGACCAAGACCTCCATCAGGACCGAGACCTCACGACACATGAACAGTTTCTTCCCGTCCGCAGTCGGGCTCATTAACAGAGGTCCCCCACCGGGTCATCCCCAGGACAACCTCCTACCGGTCACTCCCCTGCACATCCCTTCTAGGTTCTTATTTAAACACACTCCACACTTTTACACTACACTTACATCTCACTTGTTTATAGTCCTGTTATCTGTTCGTTTGTGCACTTCATTCTATATTTCACTTTATTTTATATCTTTCTGTACATTTTAATATGTTTCTACTTTGCACTGTTGATTGTTGTTGATTGTTAAATGTTTGCACCTCCCGTCATGTCAAATTCCTTGTATGTTCAACATACCATGGCAATAAATGGTTCTGATTCTGATTCTGATTCTGATTCAAAATAAAAGCTTTGTGGTCAGAAACACATAAGTTACAATGGTGTGTCTCCTTTTAGAAGTGCATCAACGTAATAATCAACGTAGTCCACAAACATCGATGATTAAATTAGTCGCCAACGGGTCTGATGATGGGTAGTTGATGACGTCATCAGGCATCCACTCCGTCCGCGTGACATCACACCCTGTTCCACACATTAAAGGAGAACATTTCCTGACATCCTCTGGCGCCGGAGAGAGGGGCGTGGCTTATCGCCATGGAAGCCGTTATCAACTTAAGCCATTTATTTCTTCCAACAACCATTAAAGAAATAACCTCTATTTCTGCTGAGTACTTGTTGTGCTGTGGTTGTTTGGCATGAACACGGCATAAGACAGCCGGCGCCATGTTGTTTTTTTTAGCAAACAACGAACGGATTGGTTGCAAAAAATGTTGGACCATAATTTACTAAATAAACATCATGCTGTATTGAAGAAGACTTGAAACTAGAGATTGTTTACAATGTTTACTGAGGTAATAAATCAAGAGAGAAGTAGAGTCATTTTCTCATAGACTTCTATACAACCAGAGGAGTCGCCCCCTGGTGGTCACTAGAGAGAATGCAGCTTTAACACATGAAGCTTTGACTTCACTTTAAAGAACCAGAGGTTGTCTCCTCGTTTCTCACCGGCAGTGTCGTTGTTGCTGTTGTTGTTGTTTGTCGGGTCTCGACAGGCGGAATTCCGTCTGTGCTGCCAGCGTCTCACCTGCAGCTGCTGCAGCCAATAGAGCATCAGGTCCTGGCTCACGGCCTGTAGTGGAATATCAAACATAAAATATAATTAATTAATTAAGACATGCACATTTAAAGTTTGATTTGCAGCTGCTCTTCAACGGGAGCGTGAATGCTTGCTGTATACGATGTGTGAATATGAACTCATTGGAACCTCATTAAACCAGGTGAGATGCTTGTTATTATATATTATGTATAATATATATAATATATTTTATTTGTGTTAAATACCTGCGGACAGAGACGGTCCCTGATGGACTGTGACTCCTCCTACCTTGAGGATGAAGGTGCGTTCAGGTGTCCTGATGTGGAAGGTGCCCCTCTCAGCCTTCAGCGGGTAGCTGAAGGTGGCGCTGCAGAGCTCCACCTGGCCGAGCGGCGTCACATCCTGCGGCGTGCGGTAGTAGAACAGCTGGTTCTTCTTCTCCTCGTAGGTGAACCAGCGCTGCTTCCAGGCCCTCAGGGGCCCCCCCTGCTTCTGCAGGAAGCCGCACAGTTTAGGGTCACCTGAAGAAGAAACCAGAGGTCGCGGCCCCACCTGGTCACAGAACACCTCTTTGATGAGAGGCGGAGCCTGGACCGGGTTCAGGTGAGGAGGAGGAGTCTGCTGGGTGTTCAGGTGAGGAGGAGGAGGAGCCTGCTGGTAGTTTAGGTGAGGTGGAGGAGGAGGAACCTGGTGGGTGTTCAAGTGAGGAGGAAGAGGAGGAACCTGGTGGGTGTTCAAGTGAGGAGGAGGAGGAGGAGGAACCTGGTGGGTGTTGAGGTAAGGAGGAGGAGCCCGCTGGGAGTTCAGGTGAGGAGGAGTAGCCCGCTGGGTGTTGAGGTGAGGAGGAGGAGGAGCCTGCTGGGTGTTGAGGTAAGAAGGAGGAGGAGCCCGCTGGGTGTTGAGGTAAGAAGGAGGAGGAGCCCGCTGGGTGTTGAGGTGAGGAGGAGGAGGATCTTGGTGGTCCTGATGCCTCTCAGGTGAGGTTGAAATGAGTTTCTCTGAAGGTGGATCCTGGTGGTTCTGCTGGTCTTTGGACTCAGACATGTGGAGCTCGAGAAGAGGATCTGGTTTTAGTGGATCTGGTTTTAGTGGATCTGGTTCTGGTTGATCCTTTGGAGGAGACTCTTTAGTTTTCTGTTGCTCTGTAGGAAGAGGACCTATTTTAGTTTGATCTGGTCTAGTTGGAGAAGCCTGATCTTCTTTTTTCCTCAGTTTTTGTTCCTCAATAAAACCATTTGGTTTTAGTTGATCTTGTTTGGTTTGAGAATCTTCTAATTTCTGTTTATAAGTCGGAGGATCCTTGTGGATTCTGTGTTCGGTGAGATGCAGATGGTCAGGTTTCTCTGTAGATGGTCTGGTTTCTCTGCAGGACTCTTCTTCATTCTGTTCGGTCTCTGCAGGACACAGACGTTTCTTTGCAGGACTCTGAGGGTTCTCTGCAGGACTCTGGTGGGTCTCTGCGGGACTCCGGTGGGTCTCTGCGGGACTCCGGTGGGTCTCTGCGGGACTCCGGTGGTTCTGGGACCAGGGCAGAATCTGCCGGTTGTCCTCCTCAGAAGCTGAGATGCAATCAGCTGGTTGAAGCTCGTCCTCGTCAGCAGGAAGCCGGCGAGACGAAGTGGCGCTGTGACTTCCTGTTGAGCTGCTTTCATCCATCCTCTAAAAACAGAGAGACAAAGAAATGTAATGATGTTTTCATGTTGGTAGTGTTGGGAACATAAGGGAGCGTGTTTGAGTTATCAGCATTTAAGAAAACTAAAGTATTGACATCAATAGATTTATTAATGTCAGTAAGATTATTAATGATTATTAATAATAACGGGGCTCCACCCTGAGAACAGGGACCAATAACCAGACTATAAACTAAGTCATATAATTAGTGTTCACTCACAATGTCAACAGTCTGAGTGCTGTTACACATTCAGAGTGAAAGTGAAGGTTTAAGTTGAAGCAACAGACCACATATCAGCTGTTATCACGATACACAGAGTAATCACAGACAGCTGCTCCTTACACTATAACAGAGTTTATTAAGCTCCAATAATAATGATCTAGTCAACTAATATCTCAACTAACAACAACTATACATTTATGAGCACGCTCACGGGGGGAGTGTGTGGGTATGTGTGCATGCAGTGGGTGTGTATGTATGTATGTATGTATATGTGCATGCAGTGGGTGTGTGTGTGTATGTATATGTGCATGCAGTGGGTGTGTGTGTGTTTGTATGTGTGTGTATGTATATGTGCATGCAGTGGGTGTGTGTGTGTG